CAAAGAAAATTGGGAAAAGGGCGTTATCACTCCATGTGGGATAACCACTGATCAGTAGAAGAGGGAATTTAGATTCTCCTCTTGTCTCTGTTAGCTACAAGAATTAATTTAGTTGGTTTTACTCCTCTATTCTGTTGTTTTACTCTTTTATTTTAGTGTTGGTGCTGGAATAGGGCTCCAGGTTGGCTCCCCAGGGCCCTGATGGATCCAACTCTTCCCATTCCCACTCCCGGGGCCTCAGGGCTGGTGTTGGCTATTTTAGAGCCACCAAAGAGCATCAAACAGCCCATTTTCCCAAAATTCCAGGCAATCTGGCTCCCTAGCTCCTGCTTTTCAGGTTTCAGTGATTCCCATCTCTGAATCTGCTCATTTAGTCAGAGTTCTTCCATTTTTTGTGAGAAATTTGGGCAAAAAGCCCCAGTTTTTATCTCCCTTTCCCACTGCCCTCCAAGGCACTGACAGCACTTGGTATTTTTTAGCACTTGATATTTATTAGATATTTATTTATTAAATATCTGGGCAGGTATTTAAGTTTAAAGAATTTAAGTTTTGTCCCTTGGGAATGGTCCCAAATGCAGAGCTGTGGCTCAGCACTGAGCCTGAAGAGCTTTGAAAATTTTCCCTCTGTCCTCTCCTGCATTAATTACAGCTGGGCTCTGCTTGGTGCTTAAAAATCGTGAGGGATCAGCTAAACTTCAGCTTAAAAATTAAATCAGGCTTTACTAATTCTTCTTCTTTAAGGCAGCCCTTAAAGAAGGGTGCCTTCCTCTGCCAAGGCATCTCGAGGAGATATTTTGTGATGGGCAATAATCAAGGAAAAATTGACTTTTCCAGTGCCAAGGTCTCTTCCTCCATCTGCTGTGTTTTTGTGAAGACATTTCTGAGCAGGATATTCCCATCTTTTGTCTGCTTTCCCCAGGGAAATGCGGCCAGGGAATGGAGGTTCTCCCTCCCAAGGCATGAGAAGAGCTGTGATTTCTGCAAAAAAATGAAAATACAAAAAAAATCGAGGGCGAAGATTGTTCCTCTAATCCAAGTGCTCCTCACCAAGGAGCTAGAAAATAAAATTATGCACTTCCCATCGCTGGAAATATCCCAGGCCAGGTTGGATAAGGCTTGGAATAACCTGGGACAGTGGGAGGTGTCCCTGCCCCTGGCAGGGGTGGCACTGGATGGACTTTAAGGTCTCTTCCAGCCCAAATTGTTCTCTGATTCTGTGCAAAGCTGAAAGTTTTGGAGGTGAATTTCTGCCTGTTGAGTGCTCGTTGAAAATCACTTTTATTGTCCTGAAATTGTGTTTTTAAGGAACCCTTAAAAAGACAGCTCTGTTGTTTTACCTCCAGTGCTCTGTTTCTCCAGTCATTATTAACCCTCTTCACTGGGGTTCCACGGGGCAAAAACCCCAAAGGAATGGCTGGAATACTGAAATTCCAAAGGAATGGCTGGAATACTGAAATCCCAAAGGAATGGCTAGAATAATATATCCAGAATATATATGGAATTTATATATTCATATACATATATATATATGAATATATTTGGATTATATATGTATTATATATAATATATAATATATATCTATTCCAATCTATTGGGATAACACACATATATATAATATCCATATATAATATATATATTGGAATATATATTATTATATCCATATTATATATTATATTACATGTGGAATATGTAAATTCCATATATTGCTGGAATAATATCAGCTTGTTGTGTGCCACCCCACAGTCAGAGCAGGAATTCTGCCTGCCCTGGAGCTGCTTTACATCACCTGCAGCTCCAGCCCAGCTGGGAATAAGGAGCAAAGGATTTAACATTATCAAGGGATAATGTTAAATATTTGCAAAGCCCATTAAAGACCAACCCCAGAGTGTCAATAACCACTGCTCTCTGTTTCATCCTCATCCCCGGCCACAGCTGAGGGACAGGAGGGCGTCAGGAGGAATTTCTTTTTATTTTTAGCAGCCTTCAGCCCCTTTGAAAGCCTTGCTGGAGGAGTAATGAACATCCCCTCGGCGTGGTGTTGGGATTCAGGTGTGAGGGGCTGGATATTGTTCCCGGGATGAGTTTCCTTGTTAGTTGGATTTTTTTTTTAATTTTTTTTTTTTAACAGGCTCTATTGAAGTGCCTCAAATTAAGCTTTGATCACATCCATTTGCTGTTAACGAATCCAGATGGGGCAGAGGCACTGGGATGGTGGCTCTGGGATAATGTGTGAGCTGCCTTTCATTTTGGGGACTTTCAGAAGCCCCAAGGCTGGCCCAGCTAACGAATGCAGCTGTCCCAAATGCTCCTCAGACAGGGTGTCCCCAGGGACACCTGCAGAGGTGGCAGCAGGGCTTTGGGGAAGGTTAAGATGTCTCAGGGAAATGGTCATTATGTATCTGGCAGTGCCTTCTTTCATATGGTAATTCCCTTTCTTCACCTTTTCATTTATTTATTTTTTTTAAATCATTCAAGTAGCTTTGTGTTCCCTTTAAATCAGTAGGGTTTATTCTAAAATCCAGATACCGGCAGGAGCTTTGCTGGAATTTTAATGTTGTTGAGGAAAACAAGCAGGGGAAACTCCATAAAAACCACAATACTTTCTGTTTTAACATCACTCGTGGGTTTTTAGGGTGTGTTTTTCTAAAAGCTGAGTTAGGAAAAGAAATTGGAATGAGCTGGATGGAGGCCAGGTTTGATTCCTCCTCGTGTGGTTTTGTGTCCAACCCAGGAGGGGTCACAGGAGGATTCCTGGCAGGACAGATCCTGCTCCTGGGAAGCTGCAGGAGATTAGTTGATAACATGGATCTGGTATCCCCAGAATCCCCACCCTCCTCCCACCACTGAAATCCTAGTGGAAAAGGAAAATTCTGATTATCCACACAAAAAGGAAGGGAATTTTGTCTTCTGTGTTGCTTCTGAGCTGGGGAGGATTTTCTTCCCTTTCTTATTCCTGAGGGATCAATGGTGACTTTAATCCCTCAGCACATTTCTCAGCCCATCCTGGGCTTGGCTTTAATCTGAAACCACATCAGGCTCTGCTCAGGTGAGACCCCAGCTGCAGGGCTGCCCCAGCCCTGGGGGAAGGACCTGGAACAACTCCAGAGGAACCCATGGATCCAGGCTGGGAGAGCTGGGAATGTTCCCCTGGAGAAGGGAAGGCTCCAGGGAGAGCTTCCAGCACATTCCAGGGCCTGCAGGGGCTCCAGGAGAGCTGCAGAGGGACTGGGGACAAGGGATGGACAGGACACAGGGAATGGCTCCCACTGCCAGAGGGCAGCCATGGATGGGATCTTGGCCATGAGGAATTCCTGGCTGGGCTGGAATTGCCAGAGCAGCTGGGGCTGCCCCTGCATCCCTGGAATGTCCAAGGCCAGGCTGGACACTGGGGCTGGAGCAGCCTGGGACAGTGGGAGTGTCCCTGCCATGGCAGGGGTGGAATGGGATGAGGTTTTTCCTCCCTCAGGGAACCCCTATCCCAAGGATTTGGGAGAGTTCCCAAAGAGGACGAGGCTGGAAGGTGCTTTTTTTACCCAAGTCAGGGACAGGGAGCAGAGCAGGATCAGTTCCTGGCCCTCAGGGGCTGCTCTGAGGAGCAGGATCAGGGATCAGGGCGATGCTGCCGCGCTGTGATCGGGAATTCAGCGGAGAGGTGGAAGTTGGGCTGGTGGGGCTGTGGCAGAGCTGCCCACCTGGGGGTTGATGAGGTTGTGCTGTGAGTCCCCAACTTCTCCTCACGTCCTGATGAACACACAGGAAGGGGGGCTCTTTCCAAATCCCTGGGATCCTCCCATGTAATTTGAGTCCAGAATTTCTCAAATCAACCAGGGTTCCCAAACACTTCAGCATCTTCCTTTCAGGAATAACCCTTCACTCCACTGAGACCAGTAATAATTCAATTTATATCACCCTGGGACTTCCATGACCTCCCCTCTGTCTCGTTTGCAGCAACAAAATCAAACACAGTGGGCAAAATAAATACAAACTGTGCCAAGTCACCTTGGGAGGCCTCAGAAATCCCAGAATTCCTATGGAGCTGTTGAAATCTTGGACATTGTTGGATATATGGTCCCTCCTGCAGGCTGGAGGAAACCAAACCTGCTCATCAGGGGTTTTAGGGTCACTCTGGGCTCTGTTTGGGGTGGCAGGGTGGGGATTGATCAAAGGTCTGGGAGGTCTCTTCCTCAGTAATTACCTCAGTAATTACCTATTGTGTTTGTGAGGGTCTCAAGATGAAAGAAGAAATAAATCTAACTCCATGTTCTTAGAAAGTTGCTATATTATATTATATTATATTATATTATATTATATTATATTATATTATATTATATTATATTATATTATATTATATTATATTATATTATATTATATTATGCTATACTAAACTGTACAAAAAAAAATACATCAAAAAGTTTAACAAAAATAAATAATAAAAACCCTGACTCAAAGAGTCTGACACAGCTAGGTTTGATTGGTCATTAAGTAAAAACAATTCACATAAAACCAATCAACCATACACCTGTTAATAAGCAACATCCAGACCACATTGCAAAGCAATCAAATAATTATTGTTTTCATTCTTTTCTGAGGCTTCTTGGCTTCCTAAGGAAAAAAAATCTTGGCAAAAGAATTTTTCAGAAAATATCACAGTAACAATTACCTCAGTAATTTCAGGATCTGTAGGAAGTGGAGCAGCACTTTAGGCTGTGTGTCCCGCTAAAAATCACATTTTTGCCTTTTGAGGTTTCACCTAATGAAGGAAAGACCTGGTGAACTTCAGGAAGTGGCTCGGAAACCCAAACTTCCAGAGCTGACAAACTCTTAAACCCCTTTCCCCCTTTCCTTGCCCAGTTTTTTCCTTTCCCTCATTTATGCAGCCTCGCAGGAGCCGCTGGCAGAGCATCAGCTGCACGTTGGTGACAACAATTAGCAAAGCAGGAGGGGCTGAGGTAAATTTCACCAAGCTGCTGCTCACACCTGGGTTTTTGTCCCCTCCCTAGAGCACGGTGATCGTGGAGAAGACAGTGCAGGACCTGATGGAGCTCATGCACGACCTGAGCGCCTACTCGGACCAGTTCCTCAACATGGTGTGTGTGAAGCTGCAGGAGTACAAGGACACCTGCAGCCTGGCCTACAGGTACAGCCCGGGGGGAATTGCTGCTCTTTGGGCTTGGTTGTTGTCTTGGTTTGAGAAAAAAACCCAAACCATTCCATAATTCCATGATAAAAGGTGACCTCAAGTTGGCCGCTGAGCGTCTGAAGTGTCCTCTTTAAAAATGAATTACTGAATGTGCCTTTTGCTCCCTGGTAAAGTAATTCAGATTCTTGATTTGAACATTTGCAAGGAATTCAGTGTTATTTGAATTGATTCTGTTGAGATTTGGGTATTCAGGTCTCGTGGCACTTTAGGAATTTCAGGATGAGAGGAAATTGCCATAAGCTGCACCAGCAGAGATTTAGATTGGAAATTAGGAAAAATTTCTTCCCTGAAACATTGGTCAGGCATTGGAAGGAGCTGCCCAGGCAGGGATGGAGTCCCCATCCATGGAGGGATTTAAAGCCCTGTGGATGTGGCACTTGGGGACATGGGTGGCCTTGGCATTGCTGGGAATGGTTGGATTCCATCCTAGAGGTCCTTTCCAAACTAAATCATTCCATGATTTTAGCAATCAGTAACCACAGGAATCCACACACTGGGTTTGGTCACAGTTCCCCAAAACAATTCTGTAAATTGACAGGGAGTCACCAAGTGCTCTGTCCCATCCCCAACATTCCCCAGCCAAAGCAAGGAAGATCAAGGCACCACAATCCCACTGGCCATGGATATGTTTGGGTTAAACCCTTCAAGTACTTGATTTATCAGAGATTTCCTGGGTAAATATCAATAAATAACTTCTAAGGACATCCCAGTTATCCATCTGTAGAACGGCCCTCCTGGACAGGAAAACCAGGATCGTGCCTCATCCCATGGGGATAAATAATTCCATTAAAAACCACTACAAGATGCTGCAGGAATGTGGGCTGGAATAGCTGCTCTACATCATCCCCTCCGTGGCTATTGAGCCTGAAAAAGCCCTTGTGCTTCCTGACCAAGAAATTACTTCCCATTGCCTGATTTTATTCAGGAAAAACTTCATCCAGCAAACAGGCTCATCATCATCATCATTATTATTATTATTAACAATAGCAGTGAGCAGAGGCTAAACTTTGTCTGAAAACCCCCCTAAATTGGGAACTGCTCATGTGCCATTGTCCAAAATATTCCTTTTTTCACCCAAAACTTCCTTGCCTGGAGCCAGACAATGGATTTGATTTTGTTTGGCTTGAACTTGACGGTCCTTCCTTCCTTCCTTTGCCATTCCTGGCTTTGGCACCTGCTGAGGGCTAATTAGGACAACGCTAATTTGGCCATCTCCTGATTGCAGTGAGAGGAAAAAACAGGAAATGTTTCTTGTCATTTTGTTGCTGGCAAAGGACTGAAATAGAAACCCGGATCCATTCCCGGGAATGCAGGGGAGCGGAACAGCTCCCGGCCTTCCCGCTCCCATCCGCGGGGATGTTATGCCCTCTGCAGGGATCTGGGCTCCACACAGCCCTGCCCTCTGCTCCAGGGTTTTCCCTGGGCTGTTGGGATGGATAAATCCTGGTGTGGGCAAAGGTGGTGGAGTCAGGATTATTTACAGCTCCTTAAAATCAGGATGAACTCCGTGGAGCTGGGAGTCGATCCCATCCGGCAAAGCTGGCGGAGCAAGGGGTGGCAAAGAGTGAGAATTTGGGAAGGCAGGGAGGTTGTTTTATTTGCAGGATTTGTTCCTTCAGGGGGAATGTGAGCAAATGTGGGTTTAAAGCATCCAGAGGGAGGCTCCTCCAGGCAGGATTTGATCCGGAGTTCTCTGCAGGAACAGCTCGGGAAGGACGTCAGCACTGGGAAATGCACAGCTGAGATTGTTCATGTCTGAGCTCCGCTTGGCTCGTGTTTTCCAGGGATTTAAAAAGAAAAACATCAAACCTAAGGCGGCTGGGTGGGATTGGACATTGCTATAAATAGCAGCTCTCGTGTGTTAATTGATGACGAATTTTGGAAGTTCAGCGTAGGTGAGGTGCCGCCTGCAAATCGCGTTTTTCTCCAAAATTCCAGTTCCAGTTTGCCACCCAAACTGTTTACAAACGTCAGCTCTGATTTCTGACTAATTGATGAGGAGCTGGGGCTGAAAATGCAAATAAAATGGGAGATGGAGCCCCCCAACTTCCTGCCGTGCTGGCAGCACTTCCCAGTCGTGTCCAACCCCCGTCTCCAGCAGATTTCCAGGAGAGCAGCTCAACTCCAGAGTTAAAAACCATTTTATGTTAAAAACCTGAGCATAAAACCATTTTTGTGGGATTTCTGGAGATACTGAAAGGAGAAACCTGCCTGGTTCACAGTTGCTGCCCTTAACAGGAGCCCTTCTTTTTAATCCTCTGCCAACACCCTTCTCTGACAAAATTTGCTGCCTCAAATGCAAAAATTAATCTCTTTCCATGTTTTTCTACATAAATTTGCCAACTTTATTCATGTCCACGTTGAAGCTGCACGTTTTTATTTTGTTGTCCACTCTAAGCTCAGTCTTGGTGTCCACCCCCTTCTTCCCCATCTTCATCCTCACCTTGTTCATTCTTGAACCTCTCTGAAGGCTCTGAGTACAGGAATCCCTCACCCAAATGAGTCTTTTTAGTCTTAAATAGGGATGGGCATCACCAAAATGTGGTTCAGAGAGATAAAAAAGTGATTAAACCCTCTGGAGGTGCTCAGCTCCCTCTCTGGAGGCAGCTTCTGGTGACCAACCTCCTTTGGCTGAACTCTCTCAACTAAATTTGGGAGAAAAACATGGGAAATAACTGGGCCTGGATTGCTCAAAATGGTGAAGAAAAGAAACCCCTCCTGCTTTCCAGCCAGGCAAAATAAACCTGAGCCCCTTTTTTTTATTGAGAAAGAGCAGATTCATTCAGCCAAAATGGGGCAGCCAAGCAGGAATTTTTGACTCCCCAGGAAATGCTTTTACCACTCATTTTGCTGTTCCTTAGTGGCATCTCCCCTTCCTTCCGTGAACTTTTGGGGTTTAAGTTGCCTTTTTGACTCTTTTTGGGGGTAGGAGTGTCCCCTCAGGCTGTGGGTGCCTGGCCCAGCTGCTTTTTAACCCTTGGTAGCACAAGCTCAGCATGGAAACATCACCTTGGCCGTGGGAAGAGGGGAAAATCATCCAAAAAATTCCACCTGGCACAAGGCAGAGGAGCCCAGTTAGGCCCTGTGGCTTCCAGATGTTTCCTGCTGGAAAGCCACGGCCCCCCAGCTGTGTCCAGGGGTATTTTCATATGATTTCCCATAAGAGGAATGATTCCTCAGAGTGCAGGATAGGTACTGGGGAAGGTGGGACACACATGAGGATTTTGGCCATGGCATCAGGGCTGTCTCTCCTTCACCAGCAGGCTGGGAATGGGAAGGATTTTGGGAAAGACATATCCAGGACAGCTGTTCCAGACTGATATTTTGTATTTTGTGGTGACTGCTCCACAATAAAAGGGTTTTTTCCATCATTTTTCCACTCTCTGTCCTCTGGGGAGGATGGAGCAGCTTGGTGGGCACCTGGATCCAGCCAAGGTCAGCTCCCTGTGGCAGCAGCAGGAAAATTATGGAGGAGTTTGGGATAAGGGGAGTGGAAGGAAGAGTTTTGAGCTGTACTAAAAGATGTCACCCTCTCCTGGCATAATTCACTCAAGGACACAAATTGGATTGAAGGTTCAGAGGGGGAACCCTGGCTGAGAAGCTGGGAAGAGAATGTGGGGAAAAGGAGTTGGGAAAAGCTGGGTGTCCAATGGAGATCAGGGATGTTCAGCCTCTTCAGCATCTTCTTGATGAGGGGGTGGTTGGGGTAAAACCAACACCAATAAAAATCAGGAGGTGCTGGAGCCCTGGGAAAGAGTGGGGGTGTAATTCCAAGGGATTCAGGCAGTGCTGGAGCTGTTCCATGGATTACTTTGGAGCTTGTTGTTTTCAATGGATCCATGGATCTTGTCCAGGGAGGACTCCCCTGGATCCCTGGAATGTCCAAGGCCAGGGCTGGAGCAGCCTGGGGCAGTGGGAGGTGTCCCTGCCATGGCAGGGGTGGAACTGGGTGGGCTTTAAGGTCCCTTCCCACCCAAACCATTCCAGGATTCCATGGGCACCACCAAAAGGTGAGGAAAGCAGGAATCATGGATTGGGCTCTTGGAAAACTCTGACCCTGCAAAAGCAAGGACAGCAGGCTGAGTTTGCAGCTTGGCAGAGCATCCCAACATCCTCCCCCGTCTCCTCCCCAGCACTGACTCCACAAACAATTAGGATTTTGAGGATAATAAGGATCATAAAAGAGAGAGGTGGCTCTGTGTAACTCCATCAGGACACTCCCAAAGATGCCCTGGAGTCCTGGGCATCTGAAGGGCCACGATAAGGCTGGAAATAATTGAAGAGAGCAAACAGTGGACGTGGAGAGAGCTGAGCTGAGAGGGGAAATAACGGGGAGTAATGGGATGAAATTGAGGAAAATAAAACACGAGCTCGGTAGCAGGAGTTTTTTTATCCAAGAGTTGGATTTGTTCAAGTGTGAAATAGACTCCCAAGGGAAGGAGAATATTACTGCAGTCATTTAAATGTGCAGAGGACAAAGCCCTGGCTGATGTGTTCCCTGGAACAGTTGTCTTGCCTTGGCACAGCAATGCCCAGATATCATCAAATCCCCTTTTTCCATCTCAGTTGTCAGAGCTGCTGGTGGAGCTCTTTTATCCCCCTCAGTTTTCACCAGGGTGAAAAATAAAAGACCTTTTTTTTTTTTTTTTTCCAATTTTTTGTTTCCCCTGAGTGGAAAAACACCGCCTCCCTCCCAGCAGCAGAAGGCCAAACAGGAATGTTGACGCCGAGGTCTCGTGTGGCTGGAAACAAAACTCAGCCTTTTGTGTGTGACAGATTGAACGTGGAACTCAGAGGGAAGGGAAATTTGTCTGTAAGCGCATGTGACAAATTCGTTTTCACAAATGCTGTGTGGTTCCTGAGCTGAGCTTGTTTTGCTGGTGGATGGGGAAGGGGTGGGAGGAGAAATGAGCTGTTCCCTTCAGGATGGATCAGAGCTGGCTCCTGTCTCGTGTTTTCCTTTGCAAAACGCAGATGCTCGGGGTGTTGTTGTTGTTTTTATTTCTATTTATTCCTCGAATCACCACCTGAATGCTGCTGACAGCTCATCTCTGCCCCAGAATTCCAGCCTGGATCTGGGAGAGTGTGGCTGGAATGGCTCTGCCAGGTCTGTGTCAGGAGGTGCTGGGAAGTGGAAGAGTCTCTGTTGGCTCAGTCCATTCCAGCCTGGAGCCAGCCTGGGAGAGCTGGGAATGTTCCCCTGGAGAAGGGAAGGCTCCAGGGAGAGCTTCCAGCACATTCCAGGGCCTGAAGGGGCTCCAGGAGAGCTGCAGAGGGACTGGGGACAAGGGATGGACAGGACACAGGGAATGGCTCCCAGTGCCAGAGGGCAGCCATGGATGGGATCTTGGCCATGAGGAATTCCTGGCTGGGCTGGAATTGCCAGAGCAGCTGGGGCTGCCCCTGCATCCCTGCAGTGTCCAAGGCCAGGCTGGACACTGGGGCTGGAGCAGCCTGGGACAGTGGGAGGTGTCCCTGCCATGGCAGGGGTGGAATGAGAGTCTTTAAGGTCCTGGATTGACTCCTCCAAATACAGCATCCCATTTGTGTCCTGAAATTCCCAGTCAGGAATTCAGATCAGTTACTCTGCCAAAAACACAAAACAGGGAAATTCTTCCCTGTTGGAACCCACTGCGCAGTCCCTGACTCAGTTTCCCACATAGGATTTAGCTGGAATCTCCATCAGGAGATGCTTTGGATGACTTGGAAAGAAGATCCTGGAGCCTTCACTCCCCTTCCTTGCTTCAGGCCTGGTCCCCAGGCTGGGCCAGCTGTGGGGGGAGGTGGTGGTGGCTTCCAGGCAGGTGTTCCAGGCTGGTCCCACCTGGCAGTGACCCCACCGTGGGCTGAGGCTGCTGAGCTCCCCTGAGATTCCAGAGGAAAATGATCCATGGAGACACCAGTGCAGGGTGACCTCCTCCAGCTGGGCACCAAACTGAACTCCCAGGATTGCAGAATTTAGGGAAATGGCCCTTTTTCCCTCAGAAGGTGTCTCATAGTCCATCAGGAGTTGTGTGTTTAAGGGCATTTCCCACCCTGCCCACCCTCCTCGCTGTCCCCTCCGCGTGCGGAATTCCTCTCTGCATCCTTTCCTCACTGCTCAATCCCCACGTGTGTGCCATGGAATGCCATCCATAACACAGAATTAAATGAGAAGTGTCCCTGGAATCAGGATGAGGTGCTTGTTGCTGCTCTCCCTGCAGGAGCATCGTGCAGTCGGACGAGAAGCTGGTGATCAGCGCCTCCTGGGCCAAGGACGACGACATCAGCAGGCTCCTGAAATCCCTGCCCAACTGGAGCAACATGGCTCAGCCCAAGCAGCTGAGGCCCAAGAGAGAGGAGGAGGAGGATTTCATAAGGTAAAAAACGGTGGGAAGTTGGGAATGGGTTTCAAGGAGAGCAGCAGCAAAAAGTAGGAACGAATTTACGGCGTTTTCACAGCTGTCGTGCGTTACAGACATATTTTATGAAAAATCTTTTTGCTAGGATTCTTTCTCCTGAGAAGCTGGGAAGCTCCAGCTTCTCCGTGTTTTGCTGCTTTGGAATGTGATTTGGGGAATTGTTTACCCAGCATGTGAAATTGTTTTTACTTGAAGACCATTAACAGCCACCTGTGTCGAGGCTGTGGGCAGTCACATGATTTTATCATCATTCCATTCTTTCCTTTTCTAACTTTCTGATGGATCCTTTCTCTCTATTCTTTTTAGTATAGTTTTAGTATAGCATTTTAATATAATATCATAATATAATAAATCAACCTTCTGAAACATGGAGTCAAGATTCTCATCTCTTCCCTAATCCAGGGACCCTTGAACACAACAACAGTTCTGTCCACAGGAAAATCATGGAATCATTTGGGAAGTGGGAAAGGCTTTGGAGATCATCGAGTCCAACCATTCCCAGCCCTGCCAAGGCCACCACTGACCGTGTCCCCAAGTGCCACCTCCACATGGCTTTAAATCCTTCCAGGGCTGGGGACTCCAGCCCTGCCCTGGGCAGCCTTTTGGGGGAAGAAATCCCCCAAATCCAATATCCAAATCTTCCCAATATCCAACCTGAGCTTTTCCTGGTGCAATTTCTGCTCACTCTGTTCTTCTGACAAAGCCATTTGGAGACTTGTCTTTGTGATCCAAGTCAAGGAAATGCCTGGGACTGGGGAAGGAAAGGATTGTTTGAATCCAGGCAAATCCTTGTCCTGCTGGTTGGTGCTGCTCTGATCAGCCACGTGATGGAGGGAGCAGCATTTTCTGACCTAAAGGAGGTGGTACTTCCCAAAATCCTTGCTTTCAAAGGAATCTTTTATTTGACCCATGAGCATGGTGGAGTTTCCCCCCAATCCCAACGCAGGGGAGCAAATAAAAAATTCCAATATTTCCAACAGGAATTCTTTTGGAGACAACTCTCTGTGCCCAAACCAGGTTGTTCCTACCTTTCATGCCAGTGAAAGCCTGGAAGGAAGCAGATTCCCTTTCCCTGCACGTTGGGAATGGCTCAGCTCCTGTGAGATTCCAAAGGCTGCACGTTCCCATCCCTATTCATCACTTCCTTGATTGGCACTTGGCTGTAAAAGTGGAGGAGGAGGAGGAGAAGCTGTTGAAAATAACAAGTCCAATTTGCCCAGATTGTCATTTTCCTCCTTCCCTGCCTGGAAGCCCCGTGACAGGGGGGATGCAGCCTGGAGAGGATGGGATTTGTGGGGTCACAGAAGGGTTTGCAGCTTGGGCAGGGATTTAAAACATCCCCAGGGCAGCAGGGAGAGGCTGCAGAGCCCTCGAGGTCTCTCTGAGTCCCTGAGTTGAATTTCATGGATTCAGTCCTCACCTGCCTTCACATTTATCCTTCATTTCCTCACCTGGGAAGCCCCTCCTGGCTCTCCCTGTGATTCCTGGTCCATCATTTTGGGATAGCAAAGCTCCAGTGGGCTCTGCTGGCTGAGAATTCCTGGCCAGGCAAAAACGGGTGGCCAAGCTCAGCCTGACGCTGACAGAAGCAACATTTTCATCCCAATGTGCATTTTATCCCATTGATTCCATTCTCCTGGCCATTCACTGAAGTATTTTGTGACACTGGATCAGAGGAGCTCCAATGGCAAGCCTTTGGGAAAAGCCTATTAAGTCATCCACACTGAATTTCCTGGGAAAAGCTCCTGTGCTGTGGCTTTTTTTCAGCCCAGGCTTCAGGACAAAGATCTTTTCTCAGTGTCTGTTTGCACAGAGCATCATCTGCTGAGCCCCAGTTCCTCCCAGTGCCATGTGAACGCTCCTGGGGCATTCATTTAAATCTTAATAATTGGTCTGGGCCAGATTTAGCCAATTGATGGCTTAGAAACTTCCTGCAGGATGGGTGGTGGTTGAATAGATCCCTCCTGAAAGCTTCAAAATAAAATTAATTGCTCATCCAATTTTTTTTTTGTCATCCCCTTCCCATTTAAGCAGCCTTTTCCCAGCCTTTTCTCCTAATACAAAGGAACATGATTTCTTCACTGCTGCTGCTGCTTCTTTCTCTTGGCACTGCTGATGAATTGGGAATAATTCTGCCTGGACACTGCAGTGGAGCCAGAGGGAAGCAGGTCCTGTGGAATCCTTGGTTAGCAGAGAATGGGAGAGCTCACTTCATTATTATTTCATTTTCATTTCATTATTTTCACCCAAAGCAGGACTTTTGACCTCTGTGATGTTTAAAATTTCAATATTTGGTGTTCCTGTGCCTTAATCCTTGGCTAGCAGGGCAGGACTACACATCCCTTCCTGGAAAAGAAGGTTCAAGCCTGATGAAATCTGGGGAAATGTTCTTTTTTGGACGTGGAACTACTCAGCAGCGCCCCTTAATGAACATTGGAAAATTATTCCAATAATTTGGAACAAATCCTGACAGTTCACCACCAGTTTTTGTCCCCTGGCAGCAAAAGAGATCCATGCCCAGCTTTCCTTCCTTCCCCAGCTTTCCTGTAACTCATTTGTTTAAATAGAAAGAATCCAAACAAACAAAAAAAAAATCTTTGCAAAAAATAATCCTCAGCCTGTGGACAGAGATTGATTTTGTTGTTTTAACCCCTTGCTGTCTCCTGAGCAAGGAGATGTCAGAAGGCACCAGCAGAATTTCCCATTGATTGGGAATTATTCCCATTAATTGAGATAAAATTGTTTTCCTTTTTCTCTGAGGCTTCTCAGCTTCCCAGGAGAAGAATCCTGGGCAAAGGGATTTTTCCAGAAAATACGATGGTGACAACTAACCAATATTTAATTTCTCGTATCAAAACAAACTCTTCACTTGCAAGATTCGTAACAGAAAAGATTCCCCTGCTGTGCCTGATTCCGCATTCCTCAGGGGGGCTTTGCTTTGCATTTCAGGGCTGCTTTTGGCAAAGAATCCGAAGTCCTGATCGGGAATTTGGGAGACAAACTGATCCCTCAGCAGGAGATCCTGCGGGACGTCAGCGACCTCAAAGCCTTGGCCAACCTGCACGAGAGCCTGGAGTGGCTGGCAGGACGCACCAAGGCAGCTTTCTCCAGCCTCTCAGCAGCCCAGAGTGAGTAATTCCCATGGGAAACCTCTGCCTGGGGATTGGGACAGCGGAAATTTGGGGTTTTAGCAGCTTTTGTTCCTCTGGGGGCTGTGGGGGCACCATGGAGGGCTCCAGGAGCATCATTTCTGTCTTGGTTTGAACAGCCAGGTGTCTGCTGAGGAAGGCAGGAGCCTCCCCTGGAATGGAAAATGTAAACCCCCTCCCTCTGAATTGTTATAATTTTGAAATTAAGGGGCTCTCAGGCAAAGATATGGGAATAGGAATAACAGTTCTTTACTAGGAAAATTAAAAACACAAATACAGGCTATAGATAAAAGTTAAGGTATAGATTGGTTCTTATGTATTAAGATGCTCAGGAAAGAAAAGTATATCATGCATTGTAACCAAAATTAAAGGGTCTTCAGGCTCGACGCCAGCTGGAGCTGACAGCTGTAGGCACAGGCTCTGTCACCCACGACCCTGGAGCTGTAACGTCTTTGATGCAATAAACTGCATTTGGAAGAGCTGCTGGAGTCCCACATCTCTCACTTACAGCTCTTACAGAGAAACTCAAGATTATATCCAGTGAGGAATGCTTGGCTGCTCCCTCTGGAGCATCTCCAGATGGAGATAACCTTAATAAAATATTATATTATATTATATTATATTATATTATATTATATTATATTATATTATATTATATTTATTATATAATGCTGTACTAAACTATACTAAAGAATACAGAAAGGATACAGACAGAAGGCTAAAAAATAATAATGAAAAACCTGTGACTCTTTCCAAAGCCCTGACACAGCCTGGCACTGATTGGCCAATGAGTAAAAACAACTCACATGAAACCAATGAAACAATCACCTGTTGGATAAACAATGTCCAAGGCACATTCCAAAGCAGCAAAACACAGGAGAAGCAATCAGATCGTTATTTTCCTTTTTTTCTGAGGCTTCTCTGCTTCCTAGGAGAGAAATCCTGGGCAAAGGGATTTTTCCAGAAAATATGACGGTGACACAAGGGTGCAGTTTTCCTCTGAAGGTCAAACTTTTAAGTTTTCCCACCCTGTGATATCACACACTTCTGTTCAAACTGCACACCCACAATCCCAGTTCTGTCATTCCATTTTGGAAGCTTCTCCAGGGCCTCAGGTCAATGCAGAGTTCTCCTGGGGGTCAGAGCCTGCAGCACAGAAAGTCTGGAATTCTCAGCAGCCAGGGTTCCAACAACCTTTGTCTTGGTTTGAGCTCTTCCTCCTGCCCAGCATCCCTGGAGTTAAATCCTGTGTGTTGGACAATTCCTGAGCATCCCGTGCTGTCTCAGGGGGTGCAAGGGGACGGCTGAGGAGCTGGAAAAGGAAAAGCATGGAATAAAAAGGGTTCCAACAACCTTTGTCTTGGTTTGAGCTCTTCCTCCTGCCCAGCGTCCCTGGAGTTAAATCCTGTGTGTTGGACAATTCCTGAGCATCCCGTGCTGTCTCAGGGGGTGCAAGGGGATGGCTGAGGAGCTGGAAAAGGAAAAGCATGGAATAAAAAACCCACAGAGCTCAAGGGGATGCCGGAACTCAGGGGAATGTGGTGAGGATACAGGGAATTTCTGCAGTTTGGTTTGGAAATTTGGAGCAGAATCCTGAGGGAAGGTGTCCAGGACTGGGGCAGCTGAATTCTCCTGGGAGCTGGGAGTTGAAAACCAGCTCAGACTTTTTTTTTTCCTGGGAATTTCACAAGGGAAATTTGCTGGTGCTGAACAAAGTCACGGTGTTTTATGTCCATGAAATCATTCTTGGCAGCAGAGCCTCTCTGGGTGACTGAAATCCTTCCTGTGGCTTCTAACTCTGCTCTAGAGCAGGACTTCAAACTCCTCCCTCAGCTTTCCATCATCAGATCCTTTGGATCCAGAAGGATAATTAAGGTTATACAACCAGTTAACAATTAAAACCCAAATTACTCCAGGCAGCTTTAATATTCCTGTAACTTGGACTTTGCCTTCTCCATACCTGGGTGACAACACTTGCTCTGTTCTAGCATTTTTTTTTGTTATTAAAAAAATAACAAAATTAAACAAAACCCAGTGGGAAATGCTATCAAAGTTCAGTAGCCAAATATTTATTTAGTTACTAGGAGAGTTCTCAGGGCTGAGGATTTATGTTCTAACAGTCAGAGCTGTTAAAATAAAACATCATTTATAATTTGAGGTCTGGTTGAAACTCAGGTTTTTTAATAAATCAATATTTTCCAGATATTAAAGGGCACGAGCTTGACTTTCAGGCCTCGGAGAGGACGTTCCACATGGTGGTGAATAAAAATAAAAGCACAAAGTGTAATATTTCACTTGGCAGCATCCTCCTGACAATAAAAATTCATCTTCCTTTGTAATAACTTCATCCCAAAATGTCTGTGCACAAATGCCAGGAGTGTCTGGAACAAGGGGAAGAAGGGGAAATGACAGAGGCTGTCCCGACCTCCTGCTTATAAATGAAATTTTCATCCTTTGGTTGATTCTCTTTTCTTCTCCAAAAACTTGAGATTCAGTCCTGCTCCCACTCAGGGCATCACCCAAGTGTTCAGGGAGTGATCAGGACCTGAATTTTTGGTGCAATGCCAGAAATTCCATAATCCAAACAAGCCCACGTGGAGGTGGTGGCCCTGGGGGAAGGCAGCAGTTTTTCCAGCAAAGCTTCCTTGGATGCAAACAAATAATAAATAGGTTTTATAAATTTATTTTATATATTATTTATAAAAAATATAAATAATATATTATTTATAAAAATATAAATAATATATTATTATATAATACATAATAATATACTTTTATATAATATCTATTATATAATATTATCTATAATATATAATAAAATATAATAAATAATAATATATATAATAATATACAATATTATATCTATATATAGTATTATATAATATAATATATTATTTATATATATTGTTTCTATTTTAATATAGTTTTTCTATTTTTGCATTTTATATATATTTAATATATTTGTTTTATAAAAAATATATTTTATAAAATTAGAAATAATAAATTCCCTCAGGCACAGCTCTGAACACCCAGAAAGCAGAAGGTGGAGCTGGGCAGGTCTGATTTTGGGAAACCCTATAGTGGCTTTGGGGTGAGGCTGTCAAAGGCCCCTTCCCAGAGATAAAAATTCAATAATCTTTGGCTGTGGACGTGCCACAATTATCCCTCATTTAAACCCAGCCTTGCTGCTGGAGAGTTTTATCACGCTGGGCAGTCTCTGAACTGTTCATTATTTGGTGTTTGCTGAGCTGATGGCTCTTCCATGGCTCTGCCCTTATCTGCTCCCCTTCAGAATTGGATTTTTTATTTCCCAAACCAGTCAGATATGACAAAGTCATTTCCTTCTGCTCTTGTCTTTTGAGGGAATACAAACTCCTTTTTAACAATAACCACTTAAGGATTAAAGTTGCTGGGAGAAGGTGAATTTGCTGAGGAAATTGAGTCACTTTCAAAGGGGTTTTATAGGAAAAATGGAAGTTGGGTTTCCCCTCCTCATCTTCTGTGCTGCAGACAGAACACAACCCCATCCTTTTTTTTGGAGCTTCAGCCTCTTGAGGTTCCCTGAATATTTTAGAGAAGGAATTAATATGAGCCACGAAGGGGCTGGGACAATCTTTTTAAAGATTTTTAACATTTTTAAGACCACGGCATGTTTGTAGGGAGGAGGAGGAAAGATGAGCTGTTGGCTTCTGGAGTTGGAGCTGCCCTTTAAATTCAGCTGCTCTTGGCACCTCGTGACTTCAGATTGCTGTGATCACCAGGGAATGACTGACAGGCTTAAATTCGGAGCTGGGAATTGCTTTGGAATGGTTTGGGGGGGAAAGGACCTTAAATCCCACCCAGTGCCACCCTGCCATGGCAGGGACACTCCCACTGTCCCAGGCTGCTCCAGCCCCAGTGTCCAGCCTGGCCTTGGGCACTGCAGGGATGCAGGGGCAGCCCCAGCTGCTCTGGCAATTCCAGCCCAGCCAGGAATTCCTCATGGCCAAGATCCCATCCATGGCTGCCCTCTGGCACTGGGAGCCATTCCCTGTGTCCTGTCCATCCCTTGTCCCCAGTCCCTCCGCAGCTCTCCTGGAGCCCCTGCAGGCCCTGAGCTCCTCCAGCTCACCTAAATCAGGATTGTCTTTTGTCGTGGTTGAGACAGAGACAATACAAAGCAATACACTTCATTTCCAGAAGGCTTCAAACAGTTTTATTCCAGCCTGCATGCTTTTTGTACATTCTTACAAAACTCATAAATTTACCCTGTACTCATTGGTCACAAGACAAACACGGCGCTCATTGGAACAGGCAGCTGCAGTTTCTCTTATTTATCCTTCTTTCTGTCTTGGTTTCTGTGCCAACGACCTTGGCAGGAAATTCTTTCAGGGATAAACATGGATCCTCCTATCAAACATGGATCCTCTTCTCAAACATGGATCCTCTTCCCAAACATGGATCTTCTTCCCAAACATGGATCCTCCTGTCAAACATGGATCCTCTTCCCAAGCATGGATCCTCTTCCCAAACATGGATCCTCCTGTCAAACATGGATCCTCTTCCCAAGCATGGATCCTCTTAGCAAACATGGATCCTTCTATCAAACATGGATCCTCTTATCAAACATGGATCCTCTTCCCAAGCATGGATCCTCTTCCCAAACATGGATCCTCTTCTCAAACATGGATCCTCTTAGCAAACATGGATCCTCCTATCAAACATGGATCCTCTTCTCAAACTTCTCTCTGGCTCACAGAAGTCACTCTAAAACATCTTCCAGGCTTTCTCTTCCAGAAGGTTCATTGGAATTAAACTCTTTTACATCTGCACCGTGTATCCATGGCTGTCACAGCTCAGTAGCTGCCCTTCCCTCAGCCCCTTTGTGTGGAGAAATCTTTATTTGCTCAGTGTGTCATGTTCACCTTCTCTGCTTGGGCCTTGCCTGGGTCATCCTTGATGAGCAATAGCAGCATTTTAATGCATTTCCAGTTCTAACT